AATCACTGAAGCTCAGCTCATTGAAGCTGGAGATCAAAGAGGAGACAAATCATTTTCTTAAGGACCATGACTAGGGATCCAGCTAAACTGCCAAAAATGCAATGCCATTGGGGCTAAACCAGCAGTGAAAACCACACTTCAGTCTAGCTTTAACACAAGCTGTTGTTTCTTATGAAGACATAGGTGTGTCTGCACCACTCTTAAGATGAATTACCTACCTGAGGTCAGCCAACCTCAGCTAAGATCACACCACTTAAGTCTGTTTCCTAAGGGGAGAGGGCTAACAACACTGTCTGTACTTGCCTAATAACTTTTGAATATTTTAGCCAAGTTTGATGAAGGAGCAGGGTTCATACTGACACAAAGATCCTGTGCACGTAATGAAAAGAAATCTGCATAGGAAGAAGATCCTGCAACTGCTTCTACCAAGGGAAAGGCTCAATCTTTATTTGTTATTAAAGAACTTGTATTATTGAGGAGAGGTGAGGAACAGAAAGACATTAATTTTGCAGCTGGACCACAGCCTAAGTTTCTTTTTACCAGAGGGTTCTTTCATCTGAGAATAAGTCAGCCGGGAATTCAACCCACCACATAACACAAATCCACAGAGCCAGCCCAGCTATTTAGACACCTAACTCACACCTATGGTCCCAACCAAACCATGCTCCAAACCATGCCCAAACCATTACCTGCACAAAAGACGGCCACAGATAGCATGTGAATCTACGTGCCTGAATCTAGAAAATATAGGTGTAAAATTGCCCTGCTAATGTTAGCCATTCAGAGGTAGAAGCTGCGTCTCAACCTGTCGTCTAGGCTACTTCTATAGTTAATGGAGAAAGAGAGGTATCTCCCAGAATGATTCATCCCACCTGGATTTACATGTTAGGACTGCAATAACCTCCCAGAATTGCTTACCATTCTCAGTCAACCAACTTACAGAAGTTAACAACATTAATTTTAAATGCTAGGCTGCCAGCTTTTTATAGGGCCCTAGTGAGGCCGTATTAACTCATCCATCCATACCTAAATCAAGTAGACCAAATTGCATCCCAGGCTTTGCTGGCTCCGGTGTTTACTGAATTATTTGTCTTTGCAGTGTTGACACATTCTGGGAATCAGAGGACAGAGATCCTAAGCCAGGACAAATCCCTTGATTTCAGTAGTTGCTCTCCTTTTATCCTGTACAAAGGGATCCACTTACCTCACGAGCATTAAGGGGATAAATTGAATAGGTGACTTTCAGAAAACAGCATCATTCATCTGCAAAGTATTCCATAACCTTATTTTTTCAAACTGTAGTTACCTACAGACTGTAAAGGCAATATACACACTTGAAGACAGCCACTTTCTGAACATGTTGGCAGCAGAAAGAGTGGCAGATACTCAGAAGGTGTTTCTAGGACACTAACCTGTTTCATTTTATCTAGACCAGAGGTTCCTCAGGACAGAGACTGTATTTTGATGCCCTTTAATGCAATCACTTTTCCAATTATGCCTTGTAATAAAGTTGTGCTGTTACAAACCTGCCATTTGGTTTGGTTCCTAGGACTCTCAGATGCAGCATTTGCTGCAGTTAGTGTTGCTGTGGGTTAAGAATTTTTGATCTCAAGTGTTAGCCTGTTTTTTTCCTTAAAATACATTGTTTCTATGTCAAAATATGTCAATATCCTGTTGAGAAAATGTCACAAAGGCTGGAAATTCTGATTTTCCCTCCCATTTAC